CTGGGGACTTTCTATCTCTGCCTCATTACCTGAACACCTCACTAACTCACGGAGTAAGAGCTGATATGGGAATCTGTGGTCAGGGAAGGATGTATGCACAGTAACAAGAGGATCAAGATCTCCACAGGAGAGGAGGACATGGAGCCCTGTATGCTTGCTCCTTCTGAAACAACCAGCCCAATGGCCACCTTTGGGCAAAGGCCGTTTCAGGGAATACACAACAATTAGTCCAATCCCAGAGAGAGGCACAAATGGAGGTGCTCACAGACATCCAGTTCCCCACAGCAAGGAAACACATGAAAGCACGGATCAGAGAAGCACCTGGAGTTGGTGTGGTGGTGGTGTAGGTTGGTGTGGGCGTGGATGTGCTTGAAGTAGTTGAAACGGGTGTTGTCGAGACAGGAGCAGTTGTTGTTGTCTGTGAGGTGCTGCCACTAGTGGTGGTGCTGCTGGGGGGCATCGTGGTGGTGGTGGTGGTGGTGGTGGTGGTGGTGGTGGTGGTAGAGATGTGAGTCTCTGCTGTTGTTGTTGGAGTGGTGGTTGATATTGGAGACGATACACTGCTCGTTGTGGGTGAAGCTGTGGAAGTTGTGGTGCTCGTGGTGCTTGGAGTTGGAAGGCACTCTGGTCTGTTGGGGGTGCAGCAGACACTGATCTCGTAGTTGAGGCAGACTGGCATCGGTATTATACCTCCAATCTGCTGATCTTTATTGTTACAGATGAGCCCTACGTTAACGTTACATTCCACTTTCTGCCCTAAATCTGCAATGGAAGTGCTAGGGAATTTCTCTGCTCGGCAGGAAATATTCTCAACTTTCGCACACTCCCAGGAGGGGTATTGCTTCCAAATGTTCTCAAAGGTTTCGTAGTCACCACTGTTCCTGTCAGAGCCATCTGGGTAAGTCACATCGATCCATTCCGTCCAGATGCAGTCACATGCTGAGAGGTGACAACAAGACAGACAGTTAGAAACAGACAGGACACAGACAAGACAGCAAGGCACCAGCTCACACTCAGGTGGTGCTCTGGGCATCCCCTGCACTCAGCAGTGCCCCTCAGGCTGCTACTGCACTCAGCCAACACTGGCCATAAGAAAGCTCAATGGTGTGGCCATGCCTCTTCTTGTCCCTACAAACTACTCCTGGCCAAAATCAGGACACAGGCACTCATGAGTTATGTGTGTGTCCCCCACAGCTGGGTCACATGGCTTTGTATGGACTCTCATGTGCAATAAACCTCTCACATAAGGCCCATTCAGGAGGCAGAGAGGCACTAAGCAGACACTCCTGCCACTCTCTCAGCTTCCTGGGCCATGCATATCACCTCCATATTTCACAGAGAAAACAACCACTGGGAAGGCACCCAATGACAGGGAAAGCAGGCACAGCACACATGCTGCCAACAAAGCCTCAGCAGCTTCCCAGTGTTTCCCAGCACTTCCCAGCATCACACAGATCACTGGAGAAAGGCACCGATAGGAACGCTGGCATAACCCAGCTGTCCAGAGTTTGTGTCGGTCAAAAGTGGCAATCTGAGCTCTGAAACCAATCCCCAAACTCGGCTAGCAAAATCCGTGGAAGCATCCTACAGCCCTACAGCTGGTAAAGAGATGGCCACAGAAGCAAAACAGGAGAGAAAGAGAAGAATGTCTGCACAGCTGTGCCCAAACAGAGCCTGAAATGCCACTGCCACAAACTTTAATCCCACTCCAACTGGGCACAATTATGAAATACCTCCTTGGAGAACTGTTGAATCAGGGAAGAAAAGACCTTCCCCAAGAACCCCTAAATCCTTGTTCCTTATGAAATAGCCAGAATTTCTGGCCACAGGTTGCCCAGAAATTACACCCATCCCTGATCCCTTCCAGACCCACAAATGGAGGTGCTCATAAATCTTCACTACTCTCACAGCAAGGCCAGAAATGACAACAGAGCCTGAGAATTATTTGTTGGTACTGTAGTTGGAGGCACAGGGCTTTGGGCAGGAATTACTTGGCTTTGAATCATACTTGGATGAGGTGAGGTGGTTGGTGCAACAGTTGTTGGTGTCGTCGTTGGTCTGGTGTTGGTGGTGGTGATGGTGGTGGTGGTGGTGGTTGTGGTGGTGCTGAGCGTCTCTGGTGATGTAGAAGTGGGTGTCAATTCTGATGTAGAAGATGCCGTGCTGGGTGTGCCTGTTAGAAACATCAGGGACAGAGAAAACAGACAAAGGCACAAAGGCATCAGTG